ATCGAGCGGCGGCAAAGGACGGGATGAGAGGAGAGGCGGGGTGAAGGGAGGGCAAGCCGAGGAGCAGCGAGAGGGGGAGCGGGGGGAAGGGAGAACAGGACGAGGAGCAGCGGCAGGCTGGGGCGGCAGGAGCACCACGAGGCAGCCGGGGAGGGGAGCGGCTGCCTGCGTTGGGAGCGCGTTGCCTTGGTGTCCGTTAGCAGCGCAGAGGGGCTCACACGTAAGGGGGGGAGCGAGGGGGGGAAGTGAGAAGCAGATGGCTTTCTCAGAAGGTGGTGGGACTTCTCGGAAGCCCTAGCGCATTCTGAGACGTTTTTTGCGTCTTCGTGGAAGGCTTAGACAACTTCTCAAAAGGCCCAGGGACTTCTGAGCCTTCTGAGAAGGCCCGCCCCTTCTGAAGTCCCCCCCAGGCTCGCCACCAACCCATGGTCTGGGACGCCGTCGCGGAGAGCACCGCGGGCGTTGCATTCCGATCGAGGATCGAGCACCTGCCCAAGGCCTGTTTCCCTCAGGACCCCTTTCCCCCCCCACATGCCCGCATCCTCCTTGGGACAGGCAGGGGGGGCACTGTGGGGTACCTTCGAGCACCCGTCCAAGGCCTGTTTCCCTCAGCACCCCTTCCCCCCCTCATGCCAACAGCCTTGGGTCAGGTATGGTGGGGGGACACTGTGGGGCACCTTCATGCACTTGTCCAAGGCCTGTTTCCCTCAGGACCCTTTCCCCCCCCCCCCCCCTCATGCTGGCATCCTTGGGTCAGGCGGGGGGGCGGGGGGGGGGCACTGTGGGGCACCTTCGAGCACCTGGCCCGCGTCGCCGCCTTGGTAGTGGCACGGTCCACCCGCCTGGTCACCCCCGCAGGGGCGCGAAGGCCGCCTCGCCTCGCGCCTCGTGGTGTGTGGGGTGCGAGCGAGCGCCACGTATCGTGCAGCGCGCAGCGCGGAGCGCCAAGGCATGATGATGATGATGATGATGATGATGATGATGATGATGATGATGATGATGATGATGATGATGATGATGATGATGATGATGGTGATGGTGATGGTGATGGTGATGGTGATGGTGATGGTGATGGTGATGGTGATGGTGATGGTGATGGTGATGGTGATGGTGATGGTGATGGTGATGGTGATGGTGATGGTGATGGTGATGGATGGTGATGGTGATGTGATGATGATGATGATGATGATGCTGATGATGATGATGATGATGATGCTGATGATTATGATGATGATGGATGATGATGATGATGCTGCTGATGATGATGATGATGCTGATGCTGCTGATGATGATGATGCTGATGATGAGGATGATGATGATGCTGCTGCTGATGATGATGATGATGCTGATGCTGCTGATGGTGGTGGTGGTGGTGCTGATGGTGATGATGTTGATGATGCTGATGATGAGGATGAGGAGGAGGAGGAGGCGGAGAAGGAGGAGGAGGTGGAGGAGGAGGATGATGGTGATGATGCTGATATTGATGCTGATGCGTATGCTGATGCTGATGCTAATGATGATGCTGCTGATGATGCTGATGATGATGATGATGGTGATGGTGATCGTGCTGCTCATCATGACGATGATTATGGGTAATATGATGATGATGGTACACATGATGCTGATGCTCATGATGATGGTTATGGTGGTGGTGATGATTATGCTGCTGATGATGCTAATGCTGATGATGATGGTACAGATGATGTTGATGGCGATGATGGTGGTGGTGACGATGATGCTGATGATGCTGCTGATGTTGATGATGATACTAGTAATGCTGTTGGTGATGATGCTGATGATGACGATGATGCTGCTGATGCTGATGGCAATGCTGATGATGATGGTGATGCACATGTCGAGTATGCTGATCATTGTTTGGTTGTGTGGTTATTATTGTTGTTGTTATGATGCTACTGGTGCTGATGATGATAGTGCTGCTGCTGCGGCTGCTGCTGTTGATGATGATGATGAGGAGGAGGAGGAGGAGGATGAGGAGTAAGAGTGTTGAGAAATGATGAGAGGCCGCGATGAGAAGGAGCGAGGACGAGCGTGAAAGAGCGCAATGCCCCTGCAAGGCAGAGCCTCAGGAGGTATGGGGACTAGGGGGAGGGCGCGGGGGCGACAGGCCAGGGAGGAGGAGGAGGAGGAGGAGGAGGAGGAGGAGGAAGAGGAGGAGGAAGGGAATGGGAGGAGGAGGAGGAGGAGGAGGTAGGAGGAGAGGAGGAGGAGGAGGAGGGGAGAGGAGGAGGAGAGGAGCAGGAGGAGGCGGAGGGGAGGAGGAGGAGGAGCGAGCGAGATGGGGAGGAGGAAGCTATGATCAGGAGGAGGAGCAGGAGGGGGAGGTGAGGAGGAGGAGGGGAGGAGGAGGAGGAGGAGGTGGAGAGGGGAGGAGGAGGAGGGGAGGTGGGAGGAGGACGAGAAGGAATGGGTAGGAGGAGGAGGAGGAGGAGTGAGGAGGAGGAGGAGGAGGGAGGAGGAGGAGAGGAGGTGGAGGGGAGAG